ACCCTGAAATATATTTGGAGTCCTGCAGTGATTTCGTGCTCTTTATTGCTGCTTGTAAAACAGTGATTGAATTCCCCCCCCCAAAAAAAAAAACACACAACAACCTTGGGTCTTTATATACGTTATCTACACAATGAGTCCCGTCTGATTGGCTGATTCTGCTTCCCTCCTGGAGCCTGATGGGTCTTCTCCTGCAGGCCAATCAGTTGTTGCATTCTAGGATCCTACCTGCCTATTGTTCTAGGATCCAAGCTTAGTACATAACATACTCACACCCCCAAAACAGCGTGCGATCTCTCTTCCCCCTTGTCAACAGGAGCCAGGCAGCTGATGTGGATCCCAATAGCGCCTGCCCTCCCCCTTCCTCCTTCCCTCCCTGTCAAAGGGAGCCTTCCCACGTGGCTCCTCCTCATGCCTCCCTCTATCTCCAGCAGACACCCCCTTCCCGATTGGGAAAACCACGCTAAGCCCGCCTCCTGCGCCTGCACTTCTGCATCTGATGTTGCAGAGAAAGGCCCTGCGACTGACCACAAACAACCCCACGGTTGACTGGGAGTCTCATGATTGACATGTTGTACATGCCTGGTTTAGAGGGTAGCATGAGACTCTTAATCTCAGGGTTGTGGGTTTGAACCCTACATCATGCATTGCAGGGGATGGGACTAGATGACTCTGATAGTCCTTTCCAACTCTATTACTCTATGATTCTATTATTATTTTCACTATTCCTAAATAACTTATGTGCACAAATTTGTTCAGGAAAGTTTTTTTAAACACATTATATTAAGGAAAATTGCTCTGCAGAGTTGCCTGTATTAGGCGACATTACATGCAAAAATTTACGTGTGTATATTGGGAGGAAAATGTACTGAAATGCTGGTGAATTTTCTTGAGAAGAAAGAAAGAAAGAAAGAAAGAAAGAAAGAAAGAAAGAAAGAAAGAAAGAAAGAAATGCAAATTGATACGGAAGTGTGAAGAATTAGCTTAAGACTGAAATAGTGAGAAACTGGTATGGACAGGTTCACCTTTCACTATCCATAGCTGAGCAGAGAGCAGAGGAACAACTATAGAGTTTCTATGACTTGCCCATCCCCAACACTGGTTTCCTTGAGTATGTGCCTCCAAAACCAATTAGCCTTAGAGTGTACTTTGGCACTCTACCCTTTCCCTTTTCATTCTTTTGTACGTAATGCAGTTGGTTACTTCCCTCTTGCTATCCATCCAGTGACTTGATTGGCCTATGGATTTCTGGCACATGTGTCTGCAAGAAACATACCATATTTTTCGCTCTATAAGACGCACCAGACCGCAAGACGCACCTAGTTTTTGGAGGAGGAAAACAAGAAAAAAAATATTCTGAATCTCAGAAGCCAGAACAGCAAGAGGGATCGCTGCGCAGTGAAAGCAGCAATCCCTCTTGCTGTTCTGGCTTCTGGGATAGCTGTGCAGCCTGCATTCTCTCCATAAGACGCACACACATTTCCCCTTACTTTTTAGGAGGGAAAAAGTGAGTCTTATAGAGCAAAAAATACGGTAAATAAGTATAGACTGTAATAATCAACAATGTGTTTAAGCAAGAATCACCCTTTGAATGAATTCATGGGTCTTGTGAAGGAAAAGCATACATTTCCCTTTTCTCATTTGCTTCCTTTGGAAGGAAAGAAGATAAGCCACTCAAAAGAAAGGTACACCTTGGTATTTAAGAAGGAACATCTTGTGATATATTTAAAATCCAAAACCAGAGCAGCCTTGTGCTACTTAATGAATGATAAATTACTGAGGTACTTGCAGTAAGGTACAGTACCTAGTATATCCCTGAGAAGAGAATCTCCTGTCCTTCATTTTGCCTGAATTTGGCTCTGAGCCTGTTGCAACCAGTGGAATGCAACCAGTCCCTTTGAGGAAGCATGAATGTATGTCTTTCTTTATCCTATTGACAACATTCATATATTGTTCAATAGTTACCGGGAACAAATAATCACAGTTAGAAATCACAGCAGCAAACCATACCAAGCAGCCCTAAAGCACTGAAATATCTTTAAAAACGTAAAACACCTGGGAAAATGGAAAGGTCTTCACTTAATGCCAAAAGGATTATAGTATTGGGGCCACCCAAATAAGCTTAGCTGGGCAAGGCATTAAATAACCAGGATGCCACTACCAAAAAGACTCTTTCCACCCATCACACCTTACTTGGTGGGGACAACCAAAGAAGGAACCTTAAAGTGGATGTGTCAATAAAAAGATATTTAAGGTAAAGGTTCCCCTGACCATTAGGTCAAGTCATGACCGACTCTGGGGCTGCGGCACTCATCTCGCTTTATTGGCCGAGGGAGCCGGCGTACAGCTTCCGGGTCATGTGGTCAGCATGACAAAGCCGCTTCTGGTGAAACCAGAGCAGCGCACGGAAACGCCGTTTACCTTCCCGCCAGAGCGGTACCTATTTATCTACTTGCACTTTGACGTGCTTTCAAACTGCTAGGTTGGCAGGAGCAGGGACCGAGCAACGGGAGCTCACCCCATCGCGGGAATTCAAACAACCAACCTTCTGATCAGTAAGTCCTAGGCTCTGTGGTTTAACCCACAGCACCACCTTGTGCCAAAAGGACCACGTGTGGACAGCAAGCGAGCTTAGAACTCACATGGTAAATCACAACCAACCAGGTTTCTAATTTACATAAGCTGCATTCTGTGCAGTACCAAAGATTTATTTGTGTCGACCTCCCACCACCATCTGTAACACTTCATGAAAAGATTGTGGGTTTTTTTGTTTTGGGGTTGTTGTTGTTGTTTTTCTAAAATGTCTGTATGTCAAACAGAACTTGGAGCAACTGTGCTTGTGACAAACTTCTGTCCCTGCAACCAGCAACCGCAGTCATATTGTTTACCAGAGGGCGTTTTTCTCAACTTGTTGCTGGGAAGGCCAAACATTATGGCAAGTACCTTATTGGAGATCTTCCAGAAAACCTAAAGTTAAAAAACATATAAAGATGATGAGAACCTCTCTGCATTTCCAGATTTCAGGAGAATGGAAAGGATAGGAAGCTGGTAAGGGCACAATCCAAAATCCTTGTACCAACACATAGTCAACTACAGATTTCCTCTGCCTAAGCATATCCATCAACTGCCCAGGAAAAAAAATGGGACATGCCTTTTTAAAGAGAGGACAGAGGCCAAAATGGCCGCCACAATCTTGTGAGATTTTGGACTACACTTTTTTTCGGGCACAATGCCCAAATGCACATGTTTTGGGTTGCTGCACAAGATCGTTGCCCCACAAAAAATGCTTGGGGGGGCAGTGATCTTGTGTGGTGCTCCAAAATGCATGTTTCAAGGCATTCTGCCCCCAAAAGGCCTTTCGGAGGGCGATTTGGTGTGATCACACACAAGTGCAGACTCAGTACATGGTGTCCCAGATTTGGCTGTGTAGTGTTGGAAGGAAAGCCTAAGAATTGTTGGGATTAAAGTAACAATGCTTGCAACAAGTTACCTTGAGCCAGTATGGGGCGATAGAAAGGGAACCTATTATTCTCTCACTTGTTCCTTCTCTTTTAGTAGTTACTTGTTAGCAAAGTCGATCATTTCCACTTAAGCTTTATTTCCTTCCCATCCCATCTCCAGGTTCAGACAGTAACAGTATGAACTAGCATGTTCCAGTGTTTAACATTTTGGCTCCATCTTGGCCACATGAAAAACTCTCACTTAGAACTGGATTGCTTGGCATGAACAATAAAATCTTAACTTTTATTTATCCTTTCAACCAGTAGCCCTACCAGACAATTTCTTTCTGCACACTGCTGCAATATATTTACCAAACTCCAAGAAGAACACAGCATTAGATGAGCACTGTCAATTATCAAGAAACTGGGCATAGCCTGATAAACCTGATATTCCATATGCCAGCAGATCCCAGATGATGAAGCAAATGTTGACATCTGAGCATTATAGAAGTGGTGATCAAAAATGATAACAATAAGAACATTGTCAAATATGCATGATGCACAGTTATGACCACTATGCACCATTAACCAATAGTCTCCCTAACAAAGGGCTTCTTGGGCAAGTTGCCATAGCAGCAACTGTAATAATCAGGCAAGATCAGCCATGTGTGGTGTTGGCCCCAATCACAGAAAAATATTCGCATGCATTAAGTATTGGCCATGAATGAGAATCTGCACTTTCACCCACACCTAAAGATGCATCCATTCAATTCAATGGAACTAGATGATCAAAAGGGAAAATCAGGTTCACTGTTGACAGGCCTAGACACAGAGAGATGCACCTTGCTGTCTATCTCTGTATTGGGGCAGGCAATTGTCTCCTGTTCAGAGGCTTCCATTTGGACAATGAAACATTAACGCTAAGGTCATCACTCCTCAATATAGGTACAATGGTGGACTATATATGTGTTGACTGGGTGATTTTAAAAATGTATACAGACTCTCTCTCTCTCTCTCTCTCTCACACACACACACACACACACACACACACACCTGGAAGGAAGGAAGACCCAAGTTAAAAATAGCATGAACATCTGCCTTTGGTGCTCCCTCTTGCTTATGAAATATAAATGTTGCTGCTCAATCACACAGCTATTTGGGACAGTGGTCACTTCACCAGGAAGTACACTGATGTTCACACACAACTGGGAAGTCCTTTCTGCAGGCAGTTGTTGTGTTTCCCCCATAGTTTATTACAGGCATAGGCAAACGTGGCCCTTCAGATGTTTTGAGACTACAATTCCCATCATCCCTGACCACTGGTCCTGTTAGCTAGGGATGATGGCAATTGTAGTCCCAAAACATCTGGAGGGCCACGTTTGCCTATGCCTGGTTTATTACCTTTGTGACTTGCACTTCTCCACACACCCCACCCCACCCCACATATTGGTTGAAAATACAGAATGTTGGTAGCAGGCTGGTTTCTTACTAAGCAAATTGACAGAACAGTGCCTCCAACACTATCAACACCTGCATAATAAGGGCACCCCTTATTTAATATTTTTCATTGCCTCTCATTGGGAAGTGATAGGTGCAGAGTTAAGTAATTTGGTTCAGAATAGACACACACCATTCTCAAGCTGATATTTAATTGTGGTTAACATCCATGACAACTGATAGTAGCAGAGAAACACTGTATGATAAGGAGACACCATAGTGTTCAGCGACAGCAGAAGAGCTCCACATCATTAAGTGCTGTGTCATCGCGCTCGCCTTGGTAACCCTGCACCTTTGTCTGGATCCCGCAGACAGAACCAGAATAGCAGCGACTGCTCCAAGAGCCAAATCTACCCCAGGCAAGTCCCTGGCCTGTCAGTGCAGTTCCGTCTTGGCAGGTGAACTGGACGTTGTTGGCTGCTGTATCATCGCCTTTGCCTTGGTGTTCTTCCACTCTCAGAGAGAAAGAGACCAGATTGCCTTGGGGACAGTATTTAATTTCTTTCCAGGATCCCCACCTGTCAAAGAAGATACTAATGTTAAGTAGAAATGCACAAGGATCCCTCTGCTTGCTCCAAATGGGATCAAGCACTTCCAAGAGGATGCTCCAAAAGCCTCAAAGGCCTTTCCATTGCTGCCTTCAAAAGTCCACAATGTACCTGCCTCTGCCCCTCCTTCCTACCCCAACACTCTACCCTCCCAGTGAAGGCAGTAGTCCATGGCCAGGAACCCAGAATTAGGTAGAGCTAGTAAGTCTATGAAACTGTTTGATATCATTTTGATGTTCCATTTACAATAAATCTTGCTTGGTAGAATGATCTAGCAAAATTATATATTTACTGGAAAAGGAGAGAGATGACAGGGCACATAGATCAGTTCACTAGGGCTCGACTTCTTTTAAGTTAGAGAACTCTCCTGAAGCAAAACAACCAGTATATTTCAGAGGATGTAATGTGGGATATAGGATTATGATCCTCCATCCCTGCTGTCAAGAAGAAAACACCAACAACTAGGGTATCATATGCCTGGGTACAGGGGTAGGCTTTAGATAGTTTAAAATTGTTTTCAAATGTTTCGAATATGTTTTGTTTTAACAGTACTTTTAAAATAAAGTACTTCTTTGGGAGGAAATGTGGGCTAGTACTTTAATAATTAGTGGTCCTGTAAGGAAAAATAATAACTGACTTGGGCTGGAATCCTACAAACACTTTGTTGCTGTTTAGTCGTTTAGTCGTGTCCGACTCTTCGTGACCCCATGGACCAGAGCATGCCAGGCACTCCTGTCTTCCACTGCCTCCCGCAGTTTGGTCAACTCATGTTTGTAGCTTCGAGAACACTGTCCAACCATCTCGTCCTCTGTCGTCCCCTACTCCTTGTGCCCTCCATCTTTCCCAACATCAGGGTCTTTTCCACGGAATCTTTTCTTTTCATGAGGTGGCCAAAGTATTGGAGCCTCAGCTTCACGATCTGTCCTTCCAGTGACAAACACTTTACCTAGAAGTAAGTCTCACTGAACTCAATGCAACTCCCAAACAAATAACTTCACTTAGTCCTTCCAGTTATTTAATCCCTGACAGTAATATGGTGTTTTCTAAGAACATCCTGGTTCTCTTGAATAGAATTGGAGTCTGTCTCTATTTGTTTCATGGCTTCCATGAGGCAGAGCCAGGTCCAGATTTGGCCTTGAGTAAGATCCCCTTCATACAGAGCTTTCCAAACTTTTCATGAAGGAGTGTGCAGCTGACACACAAATGTGTTGTGACACACAGTTTGGAAAGCTCTGCCTTAATGTTTCCCTCCTTAAGTGTCATCACTGCCCCTTCATTTGCCTTCTTCTCTGAGTCCAACACATATGACAAAGGAGGAGGGCAGGAAGAGCAGAATCTGCTCATCCTCCTTCCTCCTTGCACTACTCACTTGCTCAGAGAGGTTAAGTGAACATGCAAGGAGGAGCGGCAGCTAAGCAAGGAAGAGCCAGAGGTTAGTACAGGGTCCCCTACTGGCGTACAGGCCTCAGCAAGTGTCCAACAGTGCCAGCCCCTCAGGCTGGATCTGCCATGAATTCTGTGGTCTTGCAAAGTAGTGTTCGAAACCAGGAAAATGCTAGAGTTGATAGCACTTGAGAGTTTTGAACAGGCAGTATGAATCCTGATGTTCACCTTTTGGTGGTGCTGATTTAACCCAGCGTAAGTAATTTCCTGTCAGCCCCTCCCGACTTCCAAACAATTACACCAAAGAATAAATGAAAGCAAGAAAGCTACTTACGGTCCAACTGAAGACTCAATTATTGATCCATCAGTGCAGTGGAGACGGACTCCATTCAGGGCTGTATCATCCCCAATGCCTTGAACTGGCTCTACCTATTGGGAAAAATATGCCAGGCTAGCTTCCTCATGAGGTGATTATCTGGGTGATGGCCCATTCAGAGAACAAAGGAAAAGGGGCTCTGTGCCAGACACCAAATGGGTGGGGCCCATCCTTCAACTCTTAGATAGTTAGAAAGACAAGCCTGGGTTTTAGAGCAGAGTTTTTGGTGGTGTGAGGTAGAAGAACAGCAGCAAGCAGAGGGCCAGAGAATAATGTTTGATTTCTGTTTGTATCCAAGGCTGTGGCTATGAGAGAAGCAAAACCCTTTTGTAGGTAATGCTGTAAACCTCTCCATTGTAGGCTCAGGTTGTATATATGTGCAAATTAAACCATAGATCATAAAGACACCACAGTCTCCACTGTGCCTTATTCTAAAAGGAAACCCGAACCCTGGGTAAGCACTTGGAACTCCTGGAATCTCACACCACTTGGAAATTGGGCTGGTATGCAACAGTGGTGTCAGAAGGTGAGATTTGTGTTTCCTGGAGGTGGACCTGTGAGGAAGGTGTGCCCATGCCAAAATGAAGGGAGGAACAGCAACTTCCCTGGAGTAGGTCAGGTAGATGCTCTAGCAGCAGTTAGTGCAGCAGTGAGACCAGCTACCTGAGGAGCTGCTGATGACTGATTTATCTACCCCCTGGGAGCCTGATGTGGAAAATGGGATGCAGGAGAAAAGTGCCTCAGTGGAGGACAAACTGCAGGATGGAGATGAAGAGCGGCTGCTAATAGATCTCTTTACTCCATGTGTGCCAGCGGAGCAGGAGGAGGAGCCTCACTCTAAAGAAAACATGAACCCCAGCTAAATGCCTGGAAACTCTGGAATCTCGCACCACTCAGAGACTGGGGTGGCATTCAATAATATCATGGAGTCCCATTCTAACCACATAGCACAGAAAGGAAACAATCTTACCATTGAGAAAAAGCTCTTATTCCCTGCACAGATCACTGGGGGTGGGGGAAATAGGGATGGTATTCAACTAAGCGTTACACAGATTTGTCCCATTAATGAACACTACTAAAGTCTATTAATTGCATCAGGCTTCTCTTGAGTAAAGCTGAGCTGAATACAGTACCTCCAAAAGATATTGCCTTGTGAGACAGTTGGAAGGGCTTCATTGACCATACCTGGCCCAAAGGTCACTGGCCCCAGTCGCCAACAGGATGCAACCACTTACATACAACCTGTGGCATTGAGGGGGACTTGCACCCCTAAACACACACACACACACACACACACACACACACACGGAAACAAACCATGCTAGAATACTTTCCCAGTAAAGAAATGAATTTAACAGAATCTCTCCTGATCAACCTCAGGGTAGGCGAAGAGGAAACCAGCCCATCACCTGGTTGCTGATATCTTGCCCATCATTCCTTAACACTTCTCCACCTTTTAGACAAAGGAGAAGAATAATAGACTTAAGAGTACAGCCATTGCCTATGCTCCCCGCCCCCTTCTCACAGAGGTCTAAAACTATGTTCTGGGAAGCATTCAGAAAGAAAGGAGGGGAAGAACTTTAGAGAGAGCTGAATGTGACAACATCTCAGGAGCAAACCTTACCTTCAGTGAGAAACCATGAGCATAAGATCCTGCTGGACAAAACTGGATTGCACCCCAAATACCCCACGGTCCTCCATTTGACACTGTGAGGATAGAATTATAGTTTCTGGCTTCTGCAGGCGCAAGGGAGCAGGAGAGGGTCAAGAAGACCACAGCCAGGATGGTAAAATCCATGGAAAGTAATCTGCTCTGAATCGAGGTGCAGAAAGCTAAAGAAAGTTGGGAATTTATAGCCCAGGACTTTGAGCTGTGCTGCTATTTCCAGAACTCAGTAAGAAGTCAGACAATACCACCAGAAGACAGAGTTGCATTAAATGCGCATCATGTCAAAAAGTGGCCAGGAAGTTTACAAAAGAGTTGGATTCCCCAAACCCTCTCAGAGTTGCTGGAACTCATCCAAGGCGAAATAATCCTGCAAAAATTTAACCTCTTCTCTATCTTTGCAATGTCCCGCAACACACTTGGGTATTATATCCACATCCTTGGAACTGCAACAATGAGAATTCAGGAGATGTGAAAGAAGGGAGAAACGTCACTAAATGCTGAGTCTAGATTTGTAAATTATACATGGTGGGGCGCAGGATGGCCCCATAATGAGCCATTCTGACCTACAGTTTGCAGGCTGCAGATCATGGAAAAAACCACTACCAGAAAGAAAGAAAATTCCAGTGGAATGAGGGGTAACATATAAGTTCTAGGCAGGAGAATTGTGTGCCACATGTTAAGATTCCCAAAATAAAAATTAACAGTATATGTTAATGACACAAACCAGGAATAGGACGGGGGGGGGGATTTATGGTCTCTGGGACTTTACTCGTTGGCTAAATACAAATCTGGGACTTTACTCGTTGGCTAAATAATCTGAAAGTGAGTAGCAGGCTTGTTTTTCACTAAGCAGTTGGGCAGAATAGTGCCTCCACATTTTTCTCTAACTGCCAGATGGGAATCCTCTGATGAACTAAACAGGCAATGTTTAGCTGATTTACCCTTAACATAGGACCTCAACTGTGGCTCTATGATTTCTTCCCGCAGATACAGTGGTGCCTTGGGTTACATATGCTTCAGGTTACATACACTTCAGGTTACAGACTCTGCTAACCCAGAAATATTACCTCGGGTTAAGAACTTTGCTTCAGGATGAGAACAGAAATCATGCTCCGGCGGCGAGGCAGCAGCGGGAGGACCCATTAGCTAAAGTGGTACCTTCAGGTTAAGAACGAACCTCCAGAACGAATTAAGTTCTCAACCCAAGGTACCACTGTATAAGAAACATCCCTGGAGTCACAAGATAGTTGCCTAGTGAGGGAATTTCACAAGTATGCAGGTCCTACATAGACACACACACACACACACACCCTTTTGGGCTGACTAATCAAATAGATATGAATGACAGATGCATCTGCAGGGCCTCAGAAGCTAAACTCAAGGCCCGGGCATATAAATTTCGGTGTAGGAGGTCCTTCAGATAACCTGGCCCCAAACCACTTGCTGCTTTACAGGTAATCTGCAGCATTTTATACGGAGTCCAGAAATGAACAGGTAAGCAATGGCACTGATAAAGCATAGATATTATGTGCTCTGATCTTTTAACATAAGAAGAGTTTTGCTGGATCTGTCCACCAGCCATCTCATCTGACATCCTGTTCTCACAGTGGGCAACTGAGTGCCTATGGAAAATCAAAAACCAGTGCTTTCCCCATTAGTGATTCACAGCAAGTGTTATTCAGAGGCATATTGCCTCCAACAGTCAGTATAGCTACTCCTGTCCCCCACCAGCAACTAAGCAGATGCACTCTGTACCAGCTGACACCTTCAAAAGCAGCCCCACAGGCAATGCAAGCTATTTTACTTTCTAAATTTGGATTTAAATATGTTTCCCCACCCACCAAAATAATTTCAGTTCTAGGTTGGAAACGCCAGAGTGTGCTATTTTTGATTTCAGAACCAGCAAGATGAATTTAGACTGTGACTCAGCACAATATCTGTATGTTGGTTAAGCAACACCTGCACAGTTGTGCCCCTTGTTTAATTTCTTTTTTTCATTTCCTCTCATTCAGAAGGGAAATGTGCAGAGTTACACAATTCAGATTGACACACACCATTCTCCAGCTGATATTTAATGATAGTTAACATCCACGGCCACTGAAAATAGCAGAGAAACATGGTAAGATGTGGAGACGCAGAAGGTTCAGAAACAGCAGTAGAGGTGTACATCATTAAGTGCTGTGTCATCACTCAGGCCTTGTTTATCCTCCACCTTTGTCTGTATCCCACAGATAGAACCAGTGCAACGACGACTCAGTGAGCCAAAATGACCCCTGTTAAGTCCATGACCCTTCAGCACCTCTCCATCTTTGCAGATGAACATGATGTTGTTGGCTGCTGTATCATCATCTATGCCCCGGCCTTCTTCCACTCTCAGAGAGAAAGAGACCAGATTGCCTCTGGAACAATATTGGGCCTGTGTCCAGGATCCCCACCTGTCAAAGATGACATCAATGCTAATTAGAAATGCACAAACATCCCTCTGCTTGCTCAAAACAGGATGAAGCCTTTGTGAGCATTCCAACTGGATGCTCCAAAAGTCTCATTCATGTGTTCACACTGTACCTGCCACTGCCTGTCCTTCCTTTCCCAACACTCTCTCCTCCCAGTGAAGGTAGTGGCCCTTGGCCAGGAGCACAGAATTAGGTATCATTGGTACATGGGTATAGGTAAAGGTAAAGGGACCCCTGACCATTAGGTCCAGTCGTGGCTCACTCTGGGGTTGCAGCGCTCATCTCGCTTTATTGGCCGAGGGAGCCGGCGTACTGTCTAACCATCTCGTCCTCTGTCGTCCCCTTCTCCTTGTGCTTTTGATCTTTGTGATCTTTCCCAACATCAGGGTCTTTTCCAGGGAGTCTTCTCTTCTCATGAGGTGGCCAAAGTATTGGAGCCTCAGCTTCAGGAACTGTCCTTCCAGTGAGCACCCTAACAGATACAATGAGAATTCAGGAAAGGTGAAAGACATGAGAAAGTGCCACCACGTGCCGAGGATGGGATTGTGAATCTCACATAGGGACAGCCAGGACTGGTCCCAGCCTGAGCCATTGTCACCTACGCAGCTTACATGGGCTAGTGGATCATGCAGGCCCACTCCAATGCTCCTAGGACCACACACTACCATCAGCAACACCATGCCAGTTGATCATGCAGCCACTTCTATGGATAGCCATGGTGGGAGCCCAGGACCCTCCTTCAAAGTGAGGCATTGTGGATTATGTCAGCCTGGAGAACACCTGTCCTGAGATCTTATATAAACTTGCAATGTCTGCTTTATAGAAGTTAAGGAAGGCATGTTAGCCCATAACGGCCTTCTCAGGGATTGTGGTTGTTGTAGTACAGCAAAAAAAGGGGTTTTTTTATTTTTTGAAAGCTGCCTGCACATCTTGCTTCAAAACATTCATTCTAATGGGCCTAGAGGCTTCCTGCAGCTGGCAAACTCCTTTCCTCCCTGCCGCTTATTTATGGCCATTTATCCTTAGCTGTAATCCTTATTCTTTCCTGCCTGTGACAATTTTTCCCCATGATGCTTTCCCATCCATATATGGTGTTGTATCCTTTATTCCTGCAACTGTTGGTTGTTCTGTCATGTCTCGGGAGAAGCTGTTATCTTACAGTTTCCGAAACTCACTGCATCGCTTTGTCCAATTCAGCTTCCAATAAACAAGCCGTCTTTGCTGTTTTTCCAGCCTAGGAAGAACAGTCTGAATCCAGACTGCAGATCGTTAATCCAAAAACTTCTCTTCTTGCAGCTGGCAAACTCCTTTCCTCCCTGCCGCTTATTTATGGCCATTTATCCTTATCTCCTTAACACATTCCTTTGTGGATAATCGAGGTTAGGGAGCATTTGAAAGCAATTCTGGCCATTTGGCCTAGCATCTCCTTAGTTAAGAGACCATCCCTGTCCTATTGCTTCCCCACATTTCTTGTTGAGTTCAAAAACTGTGTTCTGGGGAGTGTTCAAAAAAAACAACAAAGGAAGGAGAGAGAGATCTGATTGTGACAGCAACCCAACAGCAAACCTTACCTTCAGTGAGAAGCCATGAGCATATCCCCGTGGACAAAATTGGATCGTCCCCCAAGTGCCCCATGGTCCTCCATTTGTCACTGTGAGGATAGAATTATAGTTCTTGGCTTCTGCATGGGCAAGGCAGCTGAAGAGGATCAAGAAGAACATAGTAGTGATGGTGACGTCCATGGAAAGCAATCTATTCTGAATAATGTGGAAAGAGTCCATCAAAGAATAGCAGCCTTGAGAATTTATAGCCCAGAAATTTCAGCTGTGTCACTTACTTCAGAACACAGTAAGAGATTAGGTAACACCACCTGTAGACAGAGTTTCGTTAAAACCACATCATTTCAGCAGTGGCAAGGAACGTTGTGAAACAGGTTGATTCCACTGAACTACCCAGGGTTACTGTGAATCTGATCTTGAACTCAACCAAAGGGAATTAATCTTGCAAAAATTAATCTCCTCTGCCTCCACTGTGTACAGCAACACACTTGGGTATTCTGTTGTTGTCGTTTAGTCATTTAGTCGTGTCTGACTCTTCATTGACCCCATGGACTGTCGAGAACCTGCTCGACATCCGAAAAAATCAGTCTCACGCCAAGATGGGTTGAAGAAATCTGGCTGCTTTAGAGCTGCTGCAGCACAGCCTTTATTGTGTAAAGTCAGAAAGATACAAAATACAAGGAATGCAACTTGTTCTCAGCCAGCAGATAAGGGCCATCGCACTAGACCACGCAGACGATCAGGCTATGTTACGTGGACCAATCATTTGGGACAGCACGAGCTATTCACGCGCTGTTCGTGCTCCAAGGATGCTTTTAGCTATGAAATCACCCTGCAATAATAAGAACTTTGCTCATGCTCTTATGTACAAGCAATCATTTTCCCACAATGGACCAGAGCACACCAGGCACTCCTGTCTTCCACTGCCTCCCGCAGTTTGGTCAAACTCATGCTGGTAGCTTCGAGAACACTGTCCAACCATCTCGTCCTCTGTCGTCCCCTTCTCCTTGTGCCCTCCATCTTTCCCAACATCAGGGTCTTTTCCAGGGAGTCTTCTCTTCTCATGAGGTGGCCAAAGTATTGGAGCCTCAGCTTCAGGATCTGTCCTTCCAGTGAGCACCCTAACATCTACAATGAGAATTCAGGAAAGGTGAAAGACAAGAGAAAGTGCCACTACATGAAGGCACCACCTGTAGATAGATTTGCATTAAATACCTATTGTGTGTCAATATTGGCTAGGGGGTTAAGGAAATAGTTTGATTCTGATAAGCTTTTCAGAGTAGCAGGGTATTTGAGTTGGACCTCTTCAAGCCAAAATAAACCTGCAAAAAGAAGACATGATTTAGTTATACCATATCTAGATTCCAAAGAGAAATAATAGAAGAGAATGGTAAATTATTAAAGTAAACTTATAGTTTATTGTTAGAATGGGAAACAAAAGATGAGGAGGTAAAATCAGTAATGATTAAATGGGCACAAGATATAGGACATAATATACAAATGGAAGATTGGGAAAGTTATGGCAAAGTAATTTAAAATTTACGGACTGCATACTGTTGAAAGAGAATTATATGAAAATGATGTATAGATGGTATATTACACCGGTGAAAATGACCAAAATGTATAGAACAAGCTCCAACAAATGCTGGAAATGCAAAGAAAAGGAAGGTACTTTTTTCATATGTGGTGGAATTGTAAAATAATTAGAAACTATTGAGATATGATTTATAATGAATTGGGAAAAAAATGTTCAAGATAACCTTTGCTAAAGACCAGAAGCCTTTTCATTAGGTATTGTAGGTCAAGATTTACCAAAAGACAAATTTATGTATGCAACAGCAGCAGCCAGAATTCTACTAGCTCAAAGACGGAAAAGCGATGAAATACCAACGAAAGAACAATGCAAGAAAAGTTGATGGAATACACCTAAATGGCGAAGATAACTGAGAGACTTAAAGATAAAGGCAATACGGACTTTTTAAAAAGTCCCCCCCGGGACCCCCACAAAAACCCTTAAGCCATCACAGCTTTTCATTAAGTCATGCAGGGTCAGGGCCAGATTACGAGCGTTAGAAGCCTTAAAGGAGAGCTTTCCAAACTTTATACCATGATGCATTAGTTTGTCAGCTGCCGTGTGTAGGTGTGTTACTCAAATGCTTCCCATGCTCCTTGGTGAGGAGCCTTGGTGGGCCGAGTAGCATTTTACCAGTTAGTCTAATTTTGTTGTATCAATATATATCATTAATCTCTATTATTACTATTTTATTATTGTTTATTATTATTTACTGCTGTTGTGGTGGTATATATGCCTGTAATTCTTCCATTTGTTGTGGGAGCCTTTTCCCCTCAGCTGCAATATATGGTCCATGGTAAATCTGGCAAAGGAAAATTTCTGTGGTACCCCCCTTTTCTTGATAAGCGTGTGCTTATTTTGCCTAATAATAATAATGATAATGATAATTTATTATTTATACCCCGCCCCTCTGGTTGAGTTTCCCTAGCCACTCTGGGCGGCTCCAATTGAGTGTTAAAAACAATACAGCATTAAATATTAAAAACTTCCCTAAATAGGGCTGCCTTCAAATGTCTTTTAAAGATAAGATAGCTGCTTATTTCCTTCACATCTGAAGGGAGGGCGTTCCACAGAGCGGGCGCCGCTACTGAGCAGGCCCCCTGTCTGGTTCCCTGTAAAGGAAAAAGCTTAATCCAGCCTTGTACAGAGTCCCAAATTCTACAAACAGGGAAAGAGAGTGGGGAAGGGCGAGTGTGTGGGAAGGAGATGGCCCAACCCCTCACAGTGATGCACTGGGACCTGCAGGGAGGAGAGGGGGTTGGGCACCAGCTGCTGCTATTGCGGCTCCACTTCTCAGTTCCACCAGTTGGTACCGCTCAATGCATCCGACCAGGAGTGGCCTAAGGGTGCCTGGCTCAGGCAGGTGCGCAGGGGTCATAGCCGCTGACCATAGATACTATGTTACTGGCGCAGAAGTGCTGCCTTGAAACATCTGGTGCGGGAGCCTCTACTGACACCCAAGGCTGGTTCATGGAAGCCTTGTGGTTTTACCATATATCATCAAAGGATGCTGCATATAACCAAGACATTTACCAGTACAGTATTGTGACTTACGCCTCCTGGTGACAGCCATTTGGGCAGCTCAGCCAGCCCTGCTCTTTCCCCGTATTCCAATGGGGCGTGGAGGGGGATGTAATCCACTGGAGCAGTCAAGTACAACATTACCTGTTTGGCTAGAGTGGACATGCAGGGGAATGTTGGTCCAGCCAGTTTAAACTTCCTGTTACACCTGGCTGGGGCATCCTTTCCTTTGCATGTGACCAGTAGGTGGGCGTGACCTTTCCAGACCTGGTAAAAGGCCAAGTCATGTAGCCACCTCCCTTCTTTTTCGTCCTGCCTGCTTCCTGCTTCACCTGAACTGCACTGCTGGCTCTCTCAGCCAGCAGTCCCTGGGTTATCTCCCATATGGGGTAAACCTATTTCTATGTATCTGTAACTTTAAGCCTAAAGCCTGCCTCCAGGGATCACACTGTGCTCTGCCTGATCATGAGTAAGCTTATTTTTGTTACTTATGAATAAGACTGTTGTGTCTTTATTCTTTTAGGAGGGATTAAAGTGGTCTTACCAGGAACATATCCCAATCTGGGCAAGCCAGATTGAATTGCTTATTATTTTAAGAGATTCTAACGAGTCTGCAACCAACTTCCTACTGTGTGATATGGGAATGTACTCTGCTATATGAAGAAATTTGCTAGCACAAGTTAGGAAGGATAATATTAATCAATCTATCCTCTCCTGTGGCCCACAACTTTCCCACAGACAGGTGCATTCTGCCAGCTGACATTTCTAAGCCACCTTTAAAAGCATCCTCTCACAGGTGATTTTCAAATCTGAAGCTGAGGCATTGTGATTCCCTGCTTCCCACTCCCACACACACACAAAAAAACCAAGTTCAGTTCTAGGCCAAAAAAGAACCCAAAATGTAAGTGTGGGGCTAAGGAAGCCCTCTTGCTGCCAACATTGTCTGTTTTTAGCCCCAGACAAAAGCATTTTTATTTACCCAGGTTTTGGCCCTTGATTTGGAGGGTAACCAGTTATGTCTGTGGCCTCTTTTTGAGTCAGGTCTCGGGGCCAACAGAAAGGATTCAGACTGTGATTCAGCACACTGTGTCTTTGTTTGTTAATCAACACCTGCATAGTTGTGCCCCTTCTTTAGTATTTTTCATTGCTTCTTATCCAGAAGTGAAAGGTGCAGAATTCTGTTCAAAAGAGTCACACACAATTCTCAAGACAATATTTAATTGTCGTTAACCTTCATGACTACCAAAAAGTAGCAGATATACGCTGTAAAGGGTGCAGGTACATAGCGTTCAGTCACAGCAGAAGAACTTCACATCATTAAGTGTTGTATCATCGTCCTTGCCTTGGAGACCCTCCACCTTTGTCTGGATCCCACAGATATAACCAGAGGAGCAGCGATTGCTCCATGCACCAAAATTACCCCAGGTAAGTCCCTGGCCCATCAGCCCAGTTCCATCTTGACAGGTGAACTGGATGTTGTTGGCAGCCGTATCGTCACCTTTGCCCCGGGGTGCTTCCACTCTCAGAGAGAAAGAGATCAGATTGCTTTGGGGGCAGTAGTGAATCCCTGTCCAGGATCCCCACCTGTCAAAGAAGACATTGGTGTTAATTAGTAACACATGAGGAGCCTTAGTAACACATGAGGCAGCCCTGTTCAGGGAAGTTTTTAATGTATGATATTTTAGTGTGTTTTTTTGGTTTCTATGGAAGCCGCCCAGAGTGGCTGGGGAAACCCAATGTCTCAAGGGCTTTGTATTGTTGCATCCAAAGGTTCACAAAGCAGCTGCCTCTGCCCTTCCTTTCTGCCCCAACACTCCCTTCTCCCAGTGAGGGCAGAAGCAGTTCTCCTGGAACCCAAGAGCAGGTATTGTAGCTGTCTGAGTCTGTGAAACAGTTAATTATCACTTTAATGTATCATTTCCCATAAATATTGCTCAACACAACCTAAGATCATCTGGGCCTGAGATGTTTGCCTCCTTAAATCTCATCACTGCCCTCTCACTTGCCTTCTTCTCGGAGGCCAACACCCATGGCAAACCAAGAGGGAGAGGGCAAGATAACCAGAGGCTGCTGCTCCCTGTCCTTCCTCCCGTCCCTTGCTCAGAGAGATCCAGTGAACTTGTAAAGAGAGCAAGAAAGAGTTGCAGCTAAATAAGAAAGCTCAAGGAGTCCGTACTGGGTCCCCTATTGGGATACAGGGATTGGCAAGTGACCAACAGTGCCAACCTCTAAAACTCAACTGCAAAGTTGAGTTGGAAGCCAGCAAAAGGCTAGAGTTGGTGCCCTTTGAGAGGTCAGAAAAAACAAGGTGAACCCTATGGTTTCTTTGTGCTGGTCTAACCTAGCATAACAAATTTCAGTTCAGCCCCTCCCACCAACACCTTCCCAAAAATTGCAACCAAAAGGAAATGAAATCAAGAGAGATGCTCACGGTCCAGTTGCAGACTCAATTACTGAACTGTCAGTGCAGTGCAGGCGAATTCCATTTAGGGCTGTATCATCATCCTTGACACCACCACCTTGGTTTGGCTCTACCTGGTGGGAGAAGAGACAAAGAGACTGAGATAAATCTGAAGATAAACCAAGGACTGCAAAAATCAAAGTCAAAGTAAATCTGTCAGGGACTGGACTGAGGAGGAATGGTGGGAGCCCCCCCCCCCATTTATCTGTCCGCCCCCAAGGGCAGGAGGACAGTAGTATTGATTTAGAACAGTGGTTTGCAGAGGGACATAGCCCAGAGGGGGAAAGCTTGGAAATACTGGGTGAGGAACAGCTAGAATAGGAAAACCAGGAAAGAGACAGCTGGCAGATTCAGTGTCCTTGAACAGCATTACTGACCCTACTTCGCCTAAGGCTTGGAAAGTGATAAAAAAGAAAGTGCAACAGCAACAAACTCAGATTACTCAATGTAGGAGTGGCGTAGATTAATGCTGACGGGGGGGGTGAACCTTTACTGGGAGCAATGCCAATATTTAGAGAGATATACAGCCCTTTGCTTCTTGCTGTGATTATTAAAGAACTTATCTGGTAAGAACGCTCCTTTCGTTTGATCTGCTTACTTACTGCCACCAGGGGAGGGATCAGATTCCCCAAAGTCTGACAAAATCATGAGTTCAATGAGATCTAAGTTCAATTAACTTGACATGGATGCAACAGTTTTCAGCTGGAATTATCCATGCCCTTAAGTCTGCAGCCTCACCTGGATACTATTACTATTACCATGTCCAGGGTAGATTTTCCATGCCTGAGATAGGAATGCAACCCATTTCTAACCATGCAGCAATAGAGATAAAGCTCTTTCCCTGGGCAGATGACTAAGAGGGAGGGCGTAGGGTAGTATTCCATTAAAATTTGTACAGAGCAGTCCCATTGATAGTAATAACACGACTCAGGTGTGTTAATTTCAAGAATTCTACACCAAGTAAAACCTGGTTACTGTGTTCCATTCGTAATTTTTTTTAAAGAATCAGAGTTGGAAGGGGAAACAAGGGTCATCTAGTCCAACCCCCTGCGATGCAGGAATTATTTGCCCAACATAGGGCTTGAACCCACGACCCTGAGATTAAGAGTCTCATGCCCAACCGAGCTATCACACCAGCCATTCTTTGTGGGTGGGTGATGAAACACACTGTGTTCAGCCGTAATTATCAACCTTGAGTGATTAACACTTCCCAACTTTGATCCCTCTCAGATGTTTTCGATGATAACACCCATCATCCCAGACCATTTGTCATGCTGGCTGGGTTTGATGGGAGCTGGAGTCCAACATATCTGGAGATATGTAGGACAACTCCTACATGTAAGGAGTCCCACCAAACACAGCCGGCCCAGTCATTAGGCAGGGTGAAGCTGCTGCTTCGGGTGCCAGAAGCCCCCCAGGTGGCATGCCCATGGGTGCCCCATCTGCCTGGCTGCCTCCACCATCAGCAGAGAAGCACCTCCCCCACTGGCACAGATTTTGGGCAAGGTAGGTGGTTGAGGTAGTGGTGGCAGCAGTAGGGCAAACTGGATCTTCCCCTTTTGCCTCAAGAAGTGAAACAGGGTGCACTGCCCTACCACCAAATAATCTGCCTGCATATCTGGCCTTTCTTTTCCAGCCAGAACGTACCAGAACTCAGTTCCGGAAGCTCTCAAGTGGGCACTATTGCCATTCTAAGAGAACAAGACACCTCTTTTTCTAGGAAAATAGCACTGCTGCATAAGTTGCTAATATATTTCACTTGGTGGCCCAAATTACCATCTGGCTCCTCAACCTCTAAATTGTCCATAATTTAGATAAAGCAGAGGACTAATAGACTTAAGAGCTCGTCAGTTCCCTATTGTTTCCCCATCTTTTTTGTTGAGTTCTAGATCTGCATTCAGAAGGCATTCAGAAAGGAAGGAAGGAAGGAAGGAAGGAAGGAAGGAAGGAAGGAAGGAAGGAAGGAAGGAAGGAAGGAACTTCAAAGTGAGCCGATCTTGACAATAACCCTGGAGGAAACCTTACCTTCAGTGAGAAGCCATGAGCATATCCCTGAGGGCAAAACTGGATTACCCCCCAGCTACCCCAAGGTCCTCCATTTGTCACAGAAAGGACGGAATTAAAGTTTCGGGCTTCCACAGACCAAAGGCAGCAGCAGAGGATCAAGAAGAACGCAGGTGAGGCAGTGAGATCCATGGTATCTCTGCTCTGAAGCTAGTTGAAGGAAAGCAGCCTTGGGAATTTATAGCCCAGAGGACTAAGCCGGGTCATACCCTTAGACAAGGAAATACTTTCGAAACTTGCAAAAGGTAAAAGAAGACCACCAGTAGGTGTATTTGCATTGAATGTGCATTATGTGTCAGTAGTGACTATGGCATTAAGGAAGCAGTTTGATTCTGCTAAACCTCTCGGAGCTGCAAGGTTATTTTTGGCTGGAACTGGTCTGAGGCAAAGTAAACCAGAAGAAAATGACCTCTTGCTCACTTGGGCATTATTATTCCTTAGAACTGCTATAATAAGTGAAAGGAGGAAGAAACTGTCATTACAAGCTGAGGACAGGATGTGTGAAACTCAGGTAGTGACTGCTGGGCCTGTCCCTGTAGTGAACCATACTGACCTACAATTCTTAGATGACAGATGGTGAGGGATGGTGAATCTCACACGGCTGCCACCCCATCTGCTGCTCTTAGGGCCGCCCTGTTCCATCTCCACTGCCATGACCCTGACTGACTAAGCAGCCATTTGACCACATAGACTGTTCCTGGCCCAGTGTGCCTTCAGAATCTGCGGCCTGCAATATGACTGCACATCAGGCTCACTGACTCTAGGGGGCTGAGGTTTCTTTGGCCCTCTCAATATTTTTTTGAAGGGAGCCTGGCCCCCTCAGTGTCAGGAGAAACTGCAGGTTTTGTGGTGTCACACGCATCTCCCAACACCACGCAGGCCGGTGCAGCCTTCCACTGGGCACACTGGCCTGTGCAGTGTCGAGAGACGCACATGACGTCACACAACCCTTCGCTCCCCAGCTTCTCCCTGATGCTTAGGTGTGTTGTGTTTGTATGTGTAGGGATGTGTGTGTGTGTTTGCACGCACGCACCTGCCTGAGGCTAGGATCTAGCGAACAACAGAGATATTTACACAATGTGAGTACACAAAGAAGGCATTGCTGCATACAATCAGCTATGAAAACAAAGTCCTGTTTTATAATGAAAATAAAATGCCTACACCAAACGAAGGGAAATGGCGAAGCTGACATACAAACACTTTGTATTTACCCTTCCCTATCATTTTGAAGGGCAAATTATTTAAATTATTTAATTGCAATGGTTCAGCAGCTGGTGGTTATGTAGGGAACATGTGGAGTGTTTATTCCTTTATTGTAAATTTTGCCTTATACTGTCTACATGCCTACTCAGAAGTAGGTCCCACTGAGTTTGATAGGATTTACTCTCTGGTATGTGCCTGATCAAGGGACGCAGGTGGCACAGAGCCTAGGACTTGCTGATCAGAAGGTCGGTGGTTGAGCCCCCGTTGCTCGGTCCCAGCTCCTGCCAACCTAGCAGTTCGAAAGCACGTCAAAGTTCAAGTAGATAAATAGGTACCCCTCCGGCAGAAAGGTAAACGGCATTTCCATGCGCTGCTCTTGTTCGCCAGAAGCGGCTTAGTCATGCTGGCCACATGACCCAGAAGCTGTACGCCGGCTCCCTCGGCCAATAAAGCGAGATGAGCGCCGCAACCCCAGAGTCGGTCACAACTGGACCTAATGGTCAGGGGTCCCTTTACCCTTTAACTTTACCCTATTTGCCTGATCATGCTCATGGTTTCCCATTTTAAGAGGCTTGCTCCAAAATGAAAAGTCACTATGGCTTACAAAACTCAAAAAGTAATAAAAATATTTAGCAATCCTGCGGATAAGATTATTTTCCCCCTTCAATGGGGAAGGAAGTTCTGCAAACATATTTCACAACAGCTGAAAATGGTGCAATACTTTTATCTTTCCAGAAATTGATAATATTTCTCCCTCTCTCCTGTTGAGGATATTGTTCAAATATTAAACTAGTACTACTCACTGTAAAAGTTGTTTTATGTCAGTTAGCCTTTAGGTTTCATGATGGATGAATATGCAGTTGTAAATGCTTAAAATAAGACTCCATGGATGGGATGGGGGGAAGTCTCAAGATTCGGAGAATCTCCTCATACAGATATGTTTTTACTAATTTGTGTTTATTTGAAGAAGAAGTAGAAGAAGTCTGGTTTTCTTTTTCTTTTTTCAGATAAAGCAAAATTGCTTCCACACCATGACCTCCATCTCACTAAATTTGATCCACAGCTGCAAGCAGCCATGTTTCCAAATACCAGTTGCTGGAAACCACAGAAGAGGAGCGTGCTCTTGTGCTCATGTTCAGCTCCCTGGTTCCCTGATCCTTTCTGCTTCAGCAGGATCTCTGCTAGCACACCAAGTAGAAACCTGTAAATTCAGCTGGCACGACACATCTAATGACATCTGCTCTGCAGCTCCTGGCAGCCAGAGGGAAGGGTGTGGAGGAGAGAAAGTTGATGCTCTTTTTACAGAATCCATGGTACACCCAAACTGACTCCAGAATTGACCGTTTTCATGCCATTTGTTCTTCTACTGCTAGAACTGCTGCCATGGCTGATGCAGGACCAATCTTCAATATATCACTTTGGGAGAAGGCGTTCAAGCAAGAGGTGAAGACTCAACTCCAGGAATTCCTGAATTATACTGGTTTTCAGTCCTGCAAACAGACTGAAATGGCCTTGGTGGATGATCTACACCGGGAATGGTAAGCAGTGCATGAGATCCCTGCCGCTTCCGCTGCACCACTCAGTGCTACCTTTAGAAGGGGGAAAGAGTAGGCCAGTGTGCCTTCTCAATCTGCTGTCTGCAAAGTGGCAGTACTGGTTTCCATCAGGTCCTTCCTCAGAGTGAGGCATTGTGGGTGAGGGCGCCCTGAAGAATGCCTGTGTTACCATTTTATGTAAGTGTTTATATACAGTGGCTGGAAATGGCTGCATTATATAAGCATGTAAGAAGTTAAGAAAGGTTGCTAGTCTGGGACAACCTACTGCTCCCCTACTTGATTTCTCATTGCAATTATGGGGTGGAAGGACCTGAAGGAGACCTGCACTGCCACTTTGCAAGCAGCAGATTGAGAAGACACACTGGCCAGCAACAACAGTGGCCCCATGATCCGCTGGCTGGCTGGCTGGCCATTCAGTCTGCCACTATCTAAGTGACTGAATATGGGGCCACTCCTGGCTGTCTCCACTGAACGTTCACACCTCCTAAGTTCAGCATCTAGTGACAGTTCCTCTGTCCTGAATTCTCATTGTAGCTGTTCTAAGGGAATGGATATAGTACCCAAGTGAGTTGCAGGATGTCATCAAGACAGAATAGTTTACTTTTTACAGATTTATTTTGGCTTGAAGAGGTTCCAACTCAAATACCCTGCTACTCTGAGAAGCTTATCAGAATCAAACTATTTCCTTAACTCCGTAGCCAATATTGACACACAATAGTTATTTCATGCAAATCTATCTACAGGTGGTGCCGCCTTGTTCTTTATTATTTCTGAGATATTTCCCTCGTTTTCCAGATGTGACCCAGCCCAAGTCTCTGGGCTATAAATTCTCAAGGCTGTTATTCTTCGATGGACTCTTTCTACCTTGATTCAGAATAGATTGCTTTCCATGGACTTCACCATCACTACTATGCTCTTCTTGATCCTCTTCAGCTGCCTTGCCCATGCAGAAGACAAGAACTATAACTCTATCCTCACAGTGCCAAATGGAGGACCATGGGGCACTTGGGGGGCGATCCAATTTTGTCCATGGGGATATGCTCATGGCTTCTCACTGAAGGTAAGGTTTGCTGTTGGGTTGCTTTCACAATCAGATCTCTCTCTCCTTCCTTCGTTTTTGTCTGAACACTCCCCAGAACACAGTTTTTGAACTCAACAAGAAATGTGGGGAAGCAATAGGACAGGGATGGACTCCTAACTAAGGAGATGCTAGGCCAAATGGCCAGAACTGCTATCAAATGCTCCCTAACCTCGATTATCCACAAAGGAATGTGTTAAGGAGATAAGGATAAATGGCCATAAATAAGAGGCAGGGAGGAAAGGAGTCTGCCAGCTGCAAGAAGAGAAGTTTTTGGATTAACTATCTGCAGTCTGGATTCAGACTGTTCTTCCGAGGCTGGAAAAACAGCAAAGACAACTTGTTTACTGGAAGCTGAATCACGGGACAAAGCGATGCAGTGAGTTTTGGAAACTGTAAGATAACAGCTTCTCCCGAGACATGACAGAACAACGAACAGTTGCAGGAATAAAGGATACAACACCATATATGGATGGGAAAGCATCATGGGAAAAAATTGTCACAGGCAGGAAAGAATAAGGATTACAGCTAAAGTTCCTCACTTGAAACTTTATAAATTAGAAGAAGAAGAAGAAGAGTTTGGATTTGATATCCCGCCTTTCACTCCCTTTAAGGAGTCTCAAAGCGGCTAACATTCTCCTTTCCCTTCCTCCCCCACAACAAACACTCTGTGAGGTGAGTGGAGCTGAGAGACTTCAAAGAAGTGTGACTGGCCCAAGGTCACCCAGCAGCTGCATGTGGAGGAGCGGAGACGCGAACCCAGTTCCCCAGATTACGAGTCCACCACTCTTAACCACTACACCACACTGGCTCAAATTACCTATTATATCAACACTAATTGAAATCACAAGATTGTAGCTGTTATATAAGGGGTTATTTTAACTCAATGGAATGGAATGGAAATTATTAAAATTTTGGAACACAGAAAAAATGCAATGCTGTATTATCAAGTCATGTTTTGGTCTGCCATTTAGATTCAAAATGGCACTTGGCACCCAAAATTCCACAAAGACCCTCACTTCAGGAACCATTAGGGCCAGGTCTGGTGACACTATCTCAAGAGGTGGCCATACTAATAGAGAGCATACAAATTGAAAAACCATTTCCCAAAATATAAACTAGATTGATGTCAGTAGTTCAGCAGTTAAAATTTATCACACTCTCTGCATCTCTTTTCCCTCTAGGTAGAGCCAGGTCAAGGTCGTGGTGATGACACAGCCCTCAACGGAATCCGCCTGCACTGCACGGATGGTTCAGTTATTGAGTCTTCAGTTGGACCGTGAGTGGCTTTCTTGCATTCTTCTCCGCTTTGGTTCAATTCGTTGTAAGATAATTGTTGTAAGATAATGGTTGAAGGGGCTTTAGTGAAATTTGTTAGGCTGGGTTAGATCAGCACCAGATAGGAGGGCAAGTCAACATGGCTACCCAGTTCTCTTTTGGGGGGTGGTTGAGCAGTGGCAACCAACGTCAAGTGTCTACCACCTCTCTTCCTACGATAGTATCACTTACCCACCTTCCATACCTCTCCAAGATCCTGTTGATAGGAGAACCTTGAATTTGACCAACTGCTCCCTCTGGCCCAGTCCCTAGTTGCTGGTTTCTCATTCTTCTTGAGAAAGAAGTGGAGGCCAAAGTCCCATGCCCCACGTTACATCTTCTGGTGTCCTATTAACATCCTCTCAGGGTTCTGTTTCCTCAGAAGAGCTACCTGGCTACAAACAAGTTGAGCCCCAATAAACTGATACTTCTCCCCCTTTCAGGTTTCCCAACTCTTTTCCAGTAAACACATAATTATTCTGGGTCATTTCAGACCCTGAAGATCTTAGGTTGTGTCAAACAATATTTATTGCAGACTGCGAAATTTAACAGTTTCATAGACTCACACACCAATAATACCTGATTTTATGATCATGGGTTTCTCTGCCTTCACCAGGAGTGGAAGGTAGAAGGGAAGGAAGGAGCAGCAGGTACCTTTTGAATACAATGCAAAGCCTTTGAGACACTATGAGCATCCTCCTGTAATGCTAGTAATGGCCTGATCCCTTTTGCAGCAAGCAGATTCCTGTCCCATTTCTAATTAACGGTCAGTGTCTTCTTTGGCAGGTGGGGATCCTGGACAGGGATTCAGTATTGCCCCCGTGGCAATCTAGTCTCTTTCTCTCTGAGGGTGGAAAAACCTCAGGGCAAAGGTGACGATACTGCAGCCAACAACATCCAGTTCACCTGCCAAGATGGAACTGGGCTGATGGGCCATGGACTCTCCTGGGGTAATTTTGGTCCATGGAGCAGTCGCTGCTACACTGGATTCATTAGTGGCATTCAGACAAGGGTGGAGTCTCCCCAAGGCAAGGGCGATGACACAGCCCTCAATGATGTGAAGTTCTTTTGCAGCGGCTGAACCACAAGTACCTCCCTGTATCTCTGCTGCTTTTCAGCAGTCGTGAATGTTAACCACAATTAAATATTGGCATGAAAGTAGTGTGTGATTCTTTTCATTTTAATTACTTAATTTTGCACTTATCACTTCTGGGTGGGAAGCAATGAAACACACACACACACACACACAGTATCTCCAATTCTAAGCTTCCCTCCACGTACCTCAAGGGGGCACAGACATTTTCCTCTCCTCCCATTTTATCCTCACAACAACCCTGTGAGGTAGGTTAGGCTGAGAGGGAGTGACTGGCCAAAGGTCATGGTGTGAGCATCATGGCTAAGTGGGAAGATCTGATGCAATGGCCATACTGACTTCCTGTTAGACCATTAGCTAGTCTGGATTCCGATCTAGCATATCTAGCATATCCAGAAGACAAGATATGAGGGGGAAAGTGGAGGCACTATTCTGTCCAACTACTTAGTGAGAAATAAGCCTGCTTCCAATTTTTAGCCAGTGAGTAAAGTCACAGATTGGCGTTTGGATGAGCAAGCCACAGAGACAATAAATGATGGAGGAACACACAAATTGTCTGCAGAAGATACTTCCTGCTTGCGTGTGACTATTGTGTATAATATAATACAGATTATGAAACTATTGTAGCATACCCTCTAACAATAAAAACCAAGGGGAAGCTGGATCAGTTTTAATGTTTTCATTCAGTACTCATGGGCTGATTTTATTTGTTTATTTGAAGCCATTTTGTCCTGAAACGTAAATATGGGCCTCAATGAATGACATTCATTGATTCATTTGTTTTCCATTTCTAAATGCGAAAAGACTACTTCCCTTAAAGAGCCTCATGAGCCTTCTATGAGGTTTTGACTTCTCTTCTGTCTTAGATTTTATTGCCTGGCAATAGTCTTAGGAAGCCATTTTTTGTTTTGCTTTTTGTTTTGTTTTTTGTTTGTTTATTTATTTTATTAAATTTGCTTGACAACATTACATTATTATATATGGTATTTTGAAAAAAGAAAAGAAGTACAAATCAAAGACAAGTCTATTCAATACAATTCACCAAACATTCTTTCAAATGTACACAAGATATGTAGAATTTAGCTGACACTGTATAATTCTCCCCCTCCCCCCGGATTATAAATAATTTGTCTAGGGCCACTAGTTAGGTGCCTAGCGAGAGAATCCCACAGGCATGGGCCCACAGATGCAATATATCTCAATGGGAGAAACCTATCTCTAGGGCTAGACACATTCAAATGGCTACAGGCAGTCCTTCAGATAACCTGGTCCCAAACCTACTAGAGCTTTAAAGCTGGTGTCCTGTTTTTTAAATGGGGTCTAGAAATGAATAGGTCACCAATGCACAGTCTCCAACTGCCCTGAAAATGCCGAGACCACCACAAAAACCCTTAAACCATCACAGAGTTTCATTATGTCATACAGGGTCAGGGCCAGATTAAGACCTTTAGAAGCCCTAAACAAGAGCTTTCCAAACTTTGTGTCGTGACGCGTTAGTTTGCCAGCTGCGGTGTGTAGGTGTCAGGAATGAGCCAGCTCCCAGTGAAGATTTGCAGTCAGCTGAGGAAAGCAGCCACGAACAAAGTGGGTTAACTCTCGTGCAGGAGGAAGAGCAGAGAGAGCTAGCTCCCGCCCCCCTTGGAATGCCAGTTGATAAGGGGACGACTGTGAGCAGGCTGGAACCCAGCCAAAGTCAATCAGGCAGGAACAGAGAAGGAAGTAGTCTGTCAGACTGGGAAGAGGTTGGAGCTGACCCAGTCTCTCCTAAGAGTCGGCTAAGGGGTGGGCTATTAGACAGGAAACAAAACAAACGATGCAAGGTCCAAAGATTCAATATCTTCTGCAAAACCCAGAAACAGTCTTCAGAAGGGTCATCTTGATTGATGATGCCAGAGGCTATGTTACAGGCGTCCAGAGCTATCTGTTTGTTTTTGCAATAATTCCTCCTTTTTAATTAACGACACTTACTGTGCTATCAAGCCAGGAACTTGGACGCATAACAGTAGGTATGTCACGCAAATGCTCCCCGTGCTCTTCCCAGGGCTAGAAAGGGGCTAGTTTGCTAGTAAAACCAAATTATTGTGTTGTGAAACGAAGCATGTCTCAAAAGTTTGTCACCCACATGAAAAGTTTGGAAACCTCTGACCTAAACACTTAAAAGATTTGAGTGCACCCATACATATCTCATTCAAAATATAAACATGTGAGCCTTGGTGGAACGAGTGGCATTTTACCAGTTACCAGAGTCTAATTTTGTTGTATTGATTAATCTCTATTATTACTATTTTATTATTGTTTATTATTATTTCCTGCTATTGTGGTAGTATATATGCCTGTAATTCTTCCATTTATTGTGGGAGCCTTTTGCCCTCAGCTGCAATATATGGTCCATGGCAATGGAAAATTTCTGTGGTGCCCCCCTTTTCTTGATTTTGCCTAAAGCTTAATCCAGCCTTGTGCAGAGTCCCAAATTCTACAAGCAGGGAAAGGGAGTGGGGAAGGGCAAGTGTGTGGGAAGGAGATGGCCAAACCCCTCACAGTGATGCACTGGGACCTGCAGGGAGGAGAGGGGGTTGGGCACCAGCTGTTGTTGTTGCTGCTCCACTTCTCAGCTCCACCAGTTGGTACCGCTCAACGCATCTGATCAGGGTGATGGTAGTGGCAGGAGCAGCCTTGCTGAATGATCTCTTTAAACTTGAGGGTTCCTTATTGTTTCACAAGATGTGTATTTATTTAAAGGCCAGAGCAAATCACGTGACCTAGTTTTACAGCTGTGAAGCAGTATAGCAGGTGCTGTTAAGTTTTGGTAATTAAGCTGTTGGGTATGGTATATAAAGAGCAGTATGGAGCTCTCCCAGTACCCTATGGGTCATGCTTATTTTTATATTTTAATTTAGTGTAAAAGGAGTTTTTGTTTTTGCTATTAAAACCTAGCAAAAGTTATTTTGCATTTCTTGAATGTGTGGTCTCCCCAGCATGCCTTCTGCAGTGCAACTAATCTGCAATTAGCCAACAGGCCTAAGTGTGCCTGGCTCACGCAGGTGCGCAGGGGTCATAGCTGCTGACCATAGAGACTATGTTGCTGGCGCAGAAATTGCTGCCTTGAAACATCTGGTGCAGAAGCCTCTTCTGACACCCAAAACTGGTTAATTTTACCATGTGGTTTTACCATATATCATCATATAACCAAGACATTTACCAGTACAGTATTGTGACATACACCTCTTGGTAACAGCCGTTTGGGCAGCTCAGCCAGCCCTGCTCTTTCCCTGTATGTATGTAGAAAAAAATGTCTCTATTTACATCTGAGGAATGTTGGAGGACATGCCAGCACAGCAAGTACAGCACTGATATTACGTGTGCCAACTTCTTGGCTCCCCGCGGGCAGCTGCATTCTGCCAGCTGACATTTCTAAGGCATCTTTAAAAGCATCCTCTCACAGATGATTTTCAAATCTGAAACAGAGGCATTGTGATTCCCTGCTTGTCAGGGATTGGACTCAAAAGAGCGAGATGGAGGAGGAGGAGTGGTGGAGATCACACACACACCTTTCTCCTGCAGTGTCAGGAGAAGGGGGAGGCAGCACTGAATTACAGCAGGGCTTTGAGGAGTCTGAGGGAAATCACAGCTCAGAGATAGATGAACAAAAGAGTTGGGCAGTGTTAGAAGAAGTGGAGGGGACTGTAGCAGGGCAGCCAGATGACATGCTGTCACTGGAGAGTATTTCTGATCCCCCTTCTCCCAGAGTACGATGCTCGTTAAAAGTGCAGGAACAATGGAATCAGAGACATTTGACCACAGTGGCCACAGTAAGGGAGGTGGGAGGAAGAGCCCAGTTTGGAGCAACGCCATATTGAGGCTTGTTGCTTTCTTTTGTCTCTTGCTATTAGGATTGACTAAAACTCATTTAAGAAGGACTCTACCTTGTTTCCTCTGCTCTTGTTGCAACCAGGGAATGAATAGCTTTCCCGAAGCCTTGGCAGAGCCATGACACTGCTTTCCCCTCCCACAAAAAAACAAGTTCAGTTCTAGGCCCAAAAAAAAGAAACCCCAAAATTTCAATGTGGGGCTAAGGAAGCCCTCTTGGTGCTAGACAAAAGCATTTTTATTTACCCAGGTTTTGGCTCTTGATTTGGAGGATAACCAGTTATGTCTGTGGCCTCTTTTTGAGTCAGGTCTCGGGGCCAACAGAAAGGATTCAGACTGTGATTCAGCACCCTGTGTCTTTGTTTGTTAATCAACACCTGCATAGTTGTGCCCCTTCTTTAATACTTTTCATTGCTTCTCATCCAGAAGTGATAGGTGCAGAATTCTGTTCAAAAGAATCACACAGAATTCTGAAGACAATATTTAATTGTTGTTAACCTTCACAAATGCCGAATAGTACCAGAGATATGCCGTAAGGGGCGGAGGTACATTGGGTTCAATCACAGCAGAAGAACTTCACATCATTAAGTGCTGTGTCATCGCCGTTGCCTTGGTAAGACTCCACCTTTGTCTGGATCCCACAGATATAACCAGAGGAGCAGCGATTGCTCCATGGGCCAAAATTACCCCAGTTAAGTCCCTGGCCCATCAGCCCAGTTCCGTCTTGACAGGTGAACTGGATGTTGTTGGCGGCCGTATCGTCACCATCGCCCTGGTATCCTTCCACTCTCAGAGAGTAAGAGATCAGATTGCTTTGGGGGCAATACTGAATCCCTGTCCAGGTTCCCCACCTGTCAAAGAAGACACTGGTGTTAATTATTAAAACATGGGGAGCCTTCTGCTTACATCTAAATGGATTAGCTCCATGTGAATATTCCAAGAGGATGCCCCCAATGTCTCAAGGGCTCTGCATTGTTGCATCCAAAGTATCACAAAGCAATTTCCTCTGCCCCTCCTTTCTGCCCCAACACTCGCTTCTCCCGGTGAGGGCAGAAGCAGTTCTCCGGGAACCCAGAAGCAGGTATTGTTGCTGTCTGAGTCTGTGAAACAGTTAATTGTCACTTTAATGTATCATTTCCAATAAGTATTGCTCAACACAGCCTAAGATCTTCTGGGCCTGAAAT